TCTGCCCTTCCCTGCTGGCCATCTTGTGGCGCCATGTTGTGTACACATGGGGGCAGCCATTTTTTACCACATGAGGTTACCCATCTTGTGTGTTGGAGTGATGGCCAATTTGCATATCACTCTTTTATTAGATAAGATCACTGGGGCAGGAGGAGAGATTGATTGGCAGGGGTCAGATTGTGAAAGTCTAGTATTCCTTCAAAAGAGTTTAGAGAGCTTTGGAGACTATCAAAATGTTTTAATCAAGAGAGAAATGCTATCTGTTTTGTAAATGAAGAAGTTTGCCCTAGCAGTACCGTGTTTCCCTGAAAATAAGACATCCTCCAAAAATAAGACCTTCTTACAGGTTTCCTTCTGAGTGAAATATAAGGCACCCCCCGAAAACAAGGCCCCCCTAGGCTAAACATGAGAGATTTGGTTCACTGATTCTGAAAGAAATGGAGTCACAAGAAATTCACCAGGAAATTCAGGAATTGGATTGTTATGATGTTCCAAAAGATGATGACATGATTGTCATTGAATAAATGAGTAAATTCTTGATACTGTAGGATTCACAGTTTGTCTGGTTTGTGTTGACAACTACCATACTACCGTACCGTATACAGGTAATAAATTTCCTTTATTTTCATTTAACAATAAATGTGTACCGTATTCTTCTTCATGGAAAAATAAGACATTCCCTGAAAATAAGACCTAGCGCATCTTTGGGAGCAAAAATTAATATAAGACACTGTCTTATTTTCGGGAAAACGGGGTACTGTGGAGTCTGAATTGGATCAAGTCAATTCCAATGCAAATCCTAATAAATTTTAGAATTCAGAAAAATGCACTTGTAAAAGTAAACAGCAAAATAATTAAGAAAGCTTTATAAAGGGCCAATAAGGGTCAGGAAGGGCAGGCACTGATAAAATAAGCCCATTGTTAAACTTAAGGTTAATGGGTCAATTTTATGATGGTTAATTTTGTATTGACTTGACGGGGCTACAGGGTGCCCAGACATTTGATCAAACACTATTCTGGGTGTGTTTGTGAGGGTATTTCTGGATAAAATTAACATTTGAAGTTAATTTTATTAAATCTATTGATTTAGTAAAGCAGATTGTCCTCCCTAATGTGGGTGATGGCCTGAATTTGACCCTTCCATGAATGAGAATAAACTCCTCCTGCCTGGCATTTGAGCTTGGACATAGGTCTTTCCCTACCTTTGGACTCAAATTGAAAAAATAAACACTTTTTAGGTTTGGTCCTGCTGGCTCTCAGTCTAGAATTACACCATTAGCTCTCCTGGTTCTCAGACCTTAGGACTCAGATTGGAAATACATAAGTTCTCCTGGGTCTCCAGCTTATCAACTATAGATTTTGGGATTTAGCAGCCTCAATAATCATGTGAGGCAGTTCTTTATATTAAATTGAACTATATACAAACATAATCTATGTAAAATTATAATTTTATATATATATATACTAGAGCCGTGGTCGGCAAACTGCAGCTCGCGAGCCACATGCAGCTCTTTGGCCCCTTGAGTGTGGCTCTTCCACAAAATACCATGGCCTGGGCGAGTCTATTTTGATGAAGTGGCGTTAGAAGAAGTTTAAGTTTAAAAAATTTGGCTCTCAAAAGAAATTTCAATCATTTCACTGTTGATATTTGGCTCTGTTGACTAATGAGTTTACTGACCACTGTACTAGAAGCTAGGTGGGGTGGGGGGAGGGTCCCTCAGCCCGGCCTGCACCATTTAGCAGTTCAGGAGCCCTCGGGGGATGTCCCATATCTTAGCGCTGCTCTAGCCAACCATCAGGAGCGCACTGATCACCAGGGGGCAGCTCCTGCATTGAGTATATACCCCCTAGTGGTCAGTGAATGTCATAGCAACCAGTCGTTCTGCTGTTCAGTTGACTTACCTATTATCATATAGGACTAGAGGCCCAATGCATGAAATTCGTGCAAGAGTAGGCCTTCCTTCCTCTGTCTGCCAGCACTGGCTTCCCTCTGGCACCTGGGATCTGGGCTTCCCTTGCAGCCCTGGCTTTGTTCAGATGATTATCTGGAAGGATGTCCTGGTCTAATTAGATTATTACACTTTTATTATTATAGATAATATATAAACACATTGAATAAAGGCAGTGTTTATTAAAATACATTTCATTTTCAAAATTGAGCTGTCAGCTGTTGAAGTGTGAATACATTTTGGGGGGATACCCTATATATACAGTGGTGCCTCGCATAAAGAACGCCTCGCACAGCGGACGCTGCACACAACGAACTTCATTTCATGATTCATACAACGAACTTCGTTTCACACAACGAAGTCGCCCGAGCTTCCACGACCGCTTTGCCCGAGCTTCCACGACTGCTTCGCCCGAGCCTCCGCGATCGCTGCCGATGTATTGCATCCTTCCGCGCAGACACTGCAGGCAGTCGTTAGTCACTGCGCTTAACTTAAGCACGTATCGCGGCAATCGTTCTTCATTACGAATTAAATCACGCACGTATCACGGCAGTCGTCCTTTTAAGTTAAACTCAATATTTTTTTTTATATCATGGCTTCTAAAAAAAGCAGGAAGGTGATTTCTGTTGAAATGAAACAGGAAATAATTAGAAGGAGTGAATGTGGGGTAAAACAGTGTGACCTCGTCAAAGAGTTTGGCCTCAGCAAGACCACCATTTTCACCATTTTGACAAATAAGGATGCAATCAAATCAGCCAAACTAGCCAAAGGAGTATCAAAACTATTTCATGAAAAACATAGGTCTTCAATCCACGAGGAAATGGAGAGGCTATTAGCGATTTGGATTAAGGACAGGCAGGTGAAAGGTGACGTAACAACCCAAGATATTATCTGTCACAAAGCCAAGAGAATTTATGACGATCTAAAGAAAAACGTCCCTGGAAGTAGCAGCAATCAAGATAATGAAGAAGAATTCAAAGCCAGCAGGGGGTGGTTTTTTAGATTTAAGAAAAGGTGTGGAATCCACAGTGTTACTATGCATGGTGAGGCTGGCAGTGCTGACAAGAAAGAAGCAGAAAAGTTCTCTATTAACTTTCAAAAATGTATTAAGGATGAAGGATACTGCCCACAACAAGTGTTCAATGCCGATGAAACGGGTCTTTTCTGGAAAAGAATGCCGAGCAGAACCTTCATTACAAAAGAGGAGAAGAAATTGCCAGGACACAAAGCCATGAAGGACAGACTTACCCTTATGTTTTCGTCTAATGCCAGCAGAGACCTCAAGATCAAACCTCTATTGGTTTATCACTCTGAAAATCCAAGAATTTTCAAGAAAAATAACGTTATTAAGTCCAAACTGCCCGTCCATTGGAAGTCCAATCAAAAAGCCTGGGTGACCCAAGTTATCTTCAACGAATGGATTCTGGAAACCTTTGCTCCTGCCGTGAAGAAATTCTTGCTGGAAAAAGAACTGCCGCTCAAAGCCCTTCTGATACTTGACAATGCCCCTTCTCACCCAAAAGACCTAGAGGAAATATTGCAGGAAAATTATCCTTTTATCAAGGTGCAGTATTTGCCACCAAAACACCACATCCATTCTTCAGCCAATGGATCAGCAAGTTATTGCGAACTTTAAAAAACTCTACACTAGAGCCCTCTTTAATAAGGTGTTTGAAGAATGTGAGTTTGGTGGAGACAATATGACTGTCCGAAAGTTTTGGAAGGAGAAATTTGATGTCCTTATGGCAATACGACTTATACAGAAGGCCTGGGAAGAAGTGTCACAAAGGACCCTCATTTCTGCTTGGAAGATGCTTGTGCCTTCGTGGACCCAGGAAGAAGCAGTAGTTGATGACACAGAAGTGGTGAAGGACATCATCACAGTGGCCCAAAGGTTGGAATTAGAGGTAGAGGAAGAGGATGTAGAGGAGCTTATTGAGGAACATGAAGAAGAGCTGACAACTGAAGAGCTCCAAGCACTTCTGGTCCAGCAACAGGACAATGCTCAAAGGGAAGCGTCATCTGATAACGAGGAGCAACAATCAAACAATCAACCAATCCCAACTGCTGACATTAAGAACATCCTGGTCAAATGGAAAGCAGTTCAGGAGTTTACCAATGCCCACTATCCGGATTCAGCTAAAGCAAACAGGATCAAAGATCTTTACTCCGATACTCTTGTCCGTTATTTCCGGCAGATGTTGGAGAAAAGAGAAAAACAAACGACTTTGGACAGGTTTTTCATGAAACCATCGGCCAAAAAGCAGAAAATGGATGAAGATGTGCAAGATTCGGTAGACTCTTCTTAGTCTGTCTTAAAATTAAAAAAATGTGTGTGTGTTTTTTTTTAAATTATGTTTTTAGATGTATCTAAATAAAAATAATAACAAAAAATTTATCTTTTTTTATGTCATCTTAGCATATTTTATGCTACAGAACGAATTATTTTTTTTAACATGTATTGTTATGGGAAAACGCATTTCACATAACGAACTTTTCGCATAACAAACTTGCTCCTGGAACGAATTAAGTTCGTTGTGTGAGGCACCACTGTATCCTGTTGGTTCTATTTCTCTGGAGAATTCTGATTAATATAGATTTTGGTTCCTAAAAGTAGGATATTGATGTAACAACCTAAAAACGTGGAAGTGGCTTTAGATTAGAAAATGTGTTGAGGCTGGAAGAGTTTTGATGTACATTCTAGAAATATGGATGTTCAAGGTGATTCTGGTGAGGACTCAGACAGAAATGAGGAACAGGTTGTTGGAAACTGAAGGAACACTATCCTTATTACAAAGTGGCAATGAACTTTGTTCATTGTGTATTAGTGTTTTGTTAAAGGTAGAACTTGATACTGATGAAATTGGATGTTTAGCAGAAAAAAATTCTAAGGAAAGTATTGAAAATGTAGCTTGGGCCCTCCTTACTTTTTATAGTAAAATGTGAGAGGAGAGAGATGGATTTAAGAAGGAATTGTTAGACAGAAAGGGACCAGAACTGGGGAAGTTGTCAGCCTATCCATAATGAAAAAAAAAAAATACATACCTTGTTCTGAAGAGAACACTAAGGGTGTGGCTGGACAGTCATTTGATAAGGAGATCAGGTGTGAGTCATAAACTTGATCAGCCATCTCAGCAGAAGCTAGGAATAGAGATGGGCTTATACCAACAGAATCACTGCCAGATAAGACTAAAAAGGACAGAAAAAAATGAGATGAAAGAAAGGAAGACCATCAGACTTTTTATAGAAGCAGAACCATAGAGTTCTTCAGCTGTGAACATGCACTATTCTTTCAGAAAGGGAAGAATGACTCTGAAGGTAATTCAGAAATCACCAGGGCTGTCTCCTCAGTTTCAAAGGGCCACATGGCTCTTGACAAGAGCTGTGGGGACAGACCTGTCTGGAGTCTTGGGGGTGGGATTGCCACCCCTGTGGGCCCAGAAGGCAGGTATCAATTCAAAGAAGATTATTCTTGAGTTTAACATGCAATGGAATTTGCCCTACAATCTCTTGGACTTGCTTTGGAGCCTTCACTCCTTCCTTCTTTCCTATTTATCCATTGTGGAATGGGCATGTCTATCCTATGCCTTCCCAGCATTGTATTTTGAAAGCACCTAACTTGTCTAGTTTCACAGGTTCAAAGGTAGAGAGGAATTTTTCCTCAAGATGAATTAATTGTCTTACCTATGCCTGATTTAGATAATATGTAGATGAAACTTTAAACTTTAGGGTGATGCTGGAATGAATTAAGGCTTTTTGGGCTGTTGGGATGAACAGAATGCAATAAAGACATGAATTTTGTTGGGCCAGGGGCAGAATGCTATGGGTTGAATTGTGTTTCCTCGCCTCACCGCCCTGCCCCAATTCATATGTGAAAGCCTTAATTCCCCATATGACTGTATTGCAGATAGGATCTTTAAGGAGATGATTAGGACTAAATGAAATCATAAGGGTGGAGTCCTGATCTGATAGAACTGGTGTCTTTGGAAAAGAGGAAGAGTCACCAGAGAATTATTTCTCTCCACTATGGGAGGACACAGTGAGAAGGCAGCTGTCTGCAAGTCAGGAGGAGAGTTCTCACTAGAAATGAACTGTGCCAGAACTTTGCTCTTTGACTTTCAGCCAGCCTCTAGAATTGTGAGAAAATAAATTTCTGTTGATTAAGCCATCCTATCTATGGTGTTTTGTTATGGTAGACTGAGCAGACTAAAATACCCATAGATCCTGATTGCTCCATTGCTTGGGTTCAAGTCCAACTCTTATCACTTGTTGAGTCTGGTGAACTTAAATAACTAGCTTGGCTTTCCTGTGCCTTAATAATCACCTCTAACATATAGTTCCATGTTTCCACACAATTTTCATTTTAAATTTGCATATAGCCTTTATCCCATTGTTGAGTTATAGATGTTTTCTGTAGTCTTACGATTATAAAAAATATTTATGCCCTACCCAGTTTAGCTCAGTGGATGAAGTGTCAGCCTCTGAACCAAAGGCTCCTGGGGTTGATTCTGGTCAAGGGCATGTACCTTGATTGCAGGCTCCTCCTGGCTCAGACCTTGATCAGGGTGCATGGAGGAGGCAATCAATGTGTTTCTCTCACATTGATGTTTCTCTCTGTTGTTCCCTCTCTCTTCCACTCTCTCTAAAAGATCAATGGAGCCGAAACCGGTTTGGCTCAATGGATAGAGCGTCGGCTTGGGGACTGAAAGGTCCGGGGTTCGATTCCGGTCAAGGGCATATACCTTGGTTGCGGGCATATCCCCAGTAGGGGGTATGCAAGAGGCAGCTGATCGATGACTCTCTCTCATCGATGTTTCTAACTCTCTATCTCTCTCCCTTCCTCTCTGTACAAAATCAATAAAATATATTTAAAAAATAAAATAAAATGTATGCAATATTGGCTGGGCTTCTCAAGAATAAGAGACATTTTTTAAAAAAAAGATCAATGGAAAAATATCCTCAGGTGAGGAGTAACAACAACAAAAAAAATTTATACATATAGTTTTATTTTCTTTTGAATTTTTCTCTTAGGATTGACACTCAGGAGCTAACCACTAGGTCAGAGAATATAAGTATTTTGATTACTGCTTATTCATATTGCCAAATTGCTTTCCAAAAGGACCAAACCTTATGGACTTATTTCATAGCTGTCAAAAACTTTCTATTTATTATTTCACTTTACATTTCCTTTACTATTAGTGACTTTGAAACTTCCCCCATATGTTTATTTACTCTTTATATGTCCTCTTGTGTGAATTATTTTCATGTTCTTAGTTTATTTTGCTAGTGTATTCTTGATACCCCTATACATAAAGATATTAATATTTTTCTATCATATTTTATGTACATATTTCCTTAACTGTTTATTCTTTACTTTTTATATTGTTCCTTATCTCTTTACTGAAGATTTTAAATATATAGTAAATCTTATTGAGTTCTATCTTTTTAAATTTTCAGAAACTAAAAAAGAAATCAAGTCATACTCTATTAAAAAAATAAACACCTGAATAAGAGAAAGTTAAAATTATCCCAAAGAACATCTAAAAGAAATCACAAGTCTTTTTTTCAAAGTTTCTTATGATTGTATTTTTATTGTTTATTCTTTATTTTTACATATACCAGAAGATGTAAATCTAAATTTTCCTTTCCTAATTATTAAATAACTAGTGGCCTGGTGCACAAAATTCATGCACATTAAAAGGGAGTTTGAGGAAATATTTTAATATTGCTACTTGCCCTTTCTCTATAATAGAAGTGTCAGAGATGAAAGAAAATTAGTAAAATGTATATAAAATCTCCCTCCTGTCAGAGTCTGGGGCATGCCATGGGACCTAGAGTCAAGTCCCCTCCCACCACCTGCAGATGCTTTGAAAACGCAGGAGACCCAGACCTGGCTGGCCCCAACCTCATCAAGTCCCTCTAGGCAGGGGGCATAGCCTCAGGTCCCCCATCAAGCCCCACAGGGTGGGGGGCATGGCCTGAGGTCCCCTGGCCTGGCACTGGTGTGGAGGGCATAGCCTGAGGTCCCCTATCAAGCCCTGTGGGGCAGGAGGTGTGGCCTGGGGTCCCTTACCTTGCCAGGCGCCATGCAGCCTCAGGTCCCTACTGTTTGGCCATGATGTTATGGTGTCCTGGCTAATTTGCATATTCCTCTATTAGATAGATTATTCTAATATCAATAATGAAATATTCTTTTCACTCCTCTATTGGTGTACTAGTATACTTCTCACTTCATTATATAGGAAATTATAGAATTATTAGAGGCCAGGTGCATGAAATTCATGCGGGGGGAGGGGGGTTCCTCAGCCCAGCCTGCACCCTCTCCAATTAGATATATTTATGTTATATTGATCTATATTTGGATAAGCACCAACACATTTCCATTATTGTTACTTTATAAAAGGTTTTAATATCTTGTGGAGTTCCTACCTCTTTCCATTATTGTCCTGACTGTTCAGAACTTTCTTTGATATTACTCTGTATATTTTCTTGGTAGTATTTTTGAAGTCACCCAGAAGAATAAAGACTGGAACATAGTTATGGTGCTTCCTTCTATATTCTTCTTCTTCTAGGTGCTCAATAAACATTTATGGAATGAATAAAAGTTAAAAGGAAAATATACAGCATGGTGTTTGATTGCTGAGAGATACCAATGTAAAAGCAAATTTATGTCTGCTTGTCTCAAACCCCAGACACTTCCAAAAGATATAGCTAGAGTATTTGACAAATTATGTTTTGCTGTTGAAGAATTATTGTTTGTTTATGCATGAAACTAATATTTATTGAGTACCAGTTATATCCCAAACATTGTTCTAGGCACTGGGGATAGAGCAAATGAACAAAAAGGATCTATAAAATGCACAAATGAATATATTATAAAAACCAAATAAGTAAATAAATACATATATAAAAATGTCACCTCAATAAATTTAATAAAAACTAAAAACTAAAAGAACAACAAGTATAGAATAAATACATAATAAAAATAAACAAATATATAAGTAATAAATATAAAATATAATATCGGGTTGATAGAAATGCTCTAAAGTAAAATAAATTAGGCTGAGGACATAGGGAGTGACTGGGATAGGGATAAATTAGAAGGGACAAAATAGGTTTCTCTATGGAGGTGTCTTTGAACTAAAACCTGAATAATGAAAAGAGGCAGACACGGGAAAACCTGTGAGAAAAGCATTGTAGTAATAGAGAACAGCCAGTGTTAGTGATCTTAATCAGGAATAAATTCTATATTCAATGAAGAAAAAGATAGCTATTGTGCTTAGAGACTAATGGACAAGGGGGAAACTGGTAGCAGATGTTACTCAGGCCTGGGTTCCTCTTTGCCTCTAATCCTGAACTTCTCCCTTGACTCAAAAGAGAAAAGTTCTGGGGAAGTGTAGGCTTTTTCCCCATGATCATAAACCATCCAAATCATACTAAATGGCAAGTGTTATGACTAGCTCTTTGAGACCAATGTTTGCAAGTCAGCGTCTGGTGGGTTATTGGCTTGGAACTATCAGGCCTAGAATCATCAGGCTTTCATCTACTCCAGGAGAAGTAGAATCTGGAGTTGCTATCTGGGAGGATTGGGTTTCCTTCCCCATACACAAATGTTCCTTTGAACTTAGATAGAAAAAAAATGGAACTAGTAGTAATTGTTTTGCACAAAGTGTCTGATTATCAGTAACCCATCATCTTTGAGAAATCAACTTCATATTTCAGGGTTGGTTTCCTCCCTATCAATAAAATGGAAGCCTCCTATACAAGAGCACTATGCAAAAAAGTAAATACATGCCTATAATGTAAAAATAAAAATAAAAAAATCCAATTTAGTGTCTAAAAACATTCTATTTGCACACTGAAATTCCATTAGAACACAACTCATTAGGACCTGCAAGTAATTATACATGGCATGGGCACACAGCCTCAGAATGTATAAAGCACTTTTGCTCCCATTAATTAATTTATCTTTACAACAAATCTATAAGATAGAGAGCATTCACTCTGTACTGGTCAGGAAAGTGTAGGTTATACTAGGGTAACAAACAACCCCAGAATCTCAGTGGCTTAAAACTGGAAAAAAATTTACTCATTCTACATGTTTATTGCTGGTAAGTGGAGGACTCTGGTTCATGCCATGTTCACATAGAAATCCAGGCCAATGGAAGCACTACCATTTGTAATGTTCAGAAGTAGGGGAAAGAGAAGACAGAACCATGCAATCTCTTAAATGCTTCTACATACAATACTTCCACTCATATTTCATCGGTCAGAATGAGTCAATGGCCACATTTAACTTCAAGGGGGCAAAGAATATA